TTTAGGGAAACTTTAAGTTGGGTTTCTGCTGGCTTTCTCTAACAGACTTCTGAAGTCTTTATAAAACATCTGGATATATGCTGAGATTAAATTACACACAACAGTGGGATTTCTAAAGGCAACTGGTTCATTTTTGTTACTTAGGACACCTTTTCCTTTGATCAACTTTACAGGTTGACACCATGTCTGCATTGATCTATCATTTTGGTCTGTCAACATACAAAAGAGAAAATAAACACTGGTTTCACGAAAGTACCCAACCTGTGCTGATGTCCACTGAGGATGGGGACTCTTTGATTGCGACCTGCTGCAGGAGTTCGTTATTCTTCCTCTCAGCAGGAGTTGGAGATCCCTCTCCTTCTTCTGTTATTTTCCTCTTCAGTCTCCTCACAATCCTCGTCTGGTTCTGGTGGCTTTTGGATGGTCCGAACATCTTAGAAACCCTGGTCCATTTTCTGCGGGTCTCTTTCTTAGCCCTGTTCCTTCTCTTTGGTGTGCTGCCTTTAATAGGCTCTGCACTCTGTGGCTTCATGCTGCTGCTGCTGATCTCTAAAGTAAGAGATGTTGGGAATTAATAGTGATTATTTTTTACATGTTTGGTCTGTCACCATAAGCACATTAACATTAGTCTCATCAAATCGGCCAACCTATGAGGATGTCAACTGAGGAGGAAGACTCTCTGGTTGGAACCTGCTCCTGGGGGTTTTCCTTACTACACTTGGCCAGTGTTGAACCTTCTTCTTTTCCTTCCATCATCTTCCTCTTCAGTAACCTCCTGGTTCTGATCTGGTCCTGGCAGCTTCTTGAGGTTCCGGCAATCTCAGAGGACCTGATCCTTTTTCTTTGGATCTCACAGTCCTCAGCAGACTCTGTGCGTTGTAGCATCATACTGCCGCTTCTCTCTATCGTAAGTAATATTGTGGAAAATTAATGATTGTTTAGAGTTCATGTTTAGTATTTTTGAATTACCTCACATACTGATATCTGATCAGGGACTTTATTAACAAACTGATGAACATTTAAGTCTTTTTCATCCAAATTCATGCTTCTCCGAGAAGCCAGCAGAGATTTCAATGTTCCTAACCAATAATAAAACAGAAATTCTGAGTGACAAAAACTCTAAATATCTTAACTATATATTAAGAGGTTTATAAGACTGTTATGTGTGTAAAATGACCTAAATTGTTACATTCACTACACTCTAAAACATTTGAGCAGCATTTAGTTGTGTCTACTAACTTCTACTCTTTAAGTCAAATAAATTTAGCATTTGATTTTAAATCTGAATATGTGAGTTTGTGTTAACTTTTTATGAATTTTGTCAAACCTCCAAGAATAAACTAGTTTTTAGGTTAGTACTTAAAAAGACCTGAAAGAAAACAAAACAGGAACTATTTCCCAGAGTGCTTAGCGGCATGTTTTTGTATCTTGTGTTGCACCGTGAGAGAGATGGAAGTATGTTGCGTTATGAAGGCAAATGTTTATTTTAATGCAACTGATAGTCTGAAAAGGTTGAGGACAACGTCTTGTTTCCACTGAATGGTTTTGAGCAGAATTTATTGTGATGTTTATCAGTTCAGAAAGTTTGTTCATGTAATTTGAAACAAGAATTTAAATTATTCTTAAGTAAAATATTTATATTTTAACTTGTGAATGATAATAGAGAAATGTGAACTCTTTTACTAGGTGAGGGCAGTTTTCTTCTTGTGTATTGTGAAATAATTGGTTTAAATTGCAGCATTAAGTTAAAACTCAATTCAAGATTAATGAACTTAAAAAAAGTTTAAACAAAGTGTATCTTGTTTAATCAACTGCATGAACTTTAATTTCTGAATTAAAACAAAACCCTAACCCTTTTCTTGACTTTCATTTTCAAGTTAAACCACCTTCAAATGTTTTACAGTGTAACTTTCCAAAAACTGAAACATAAACCTTGTCTTATTAAGAGTGAAACACAAACTCTTTACCTTTTGTTCTCCTGAACGCTGGCCTTTTACGCTTGTGTTCAGATTCTTTATCCATTTTGGTGTAGGAGTTTTCAGTGTTATTCACTAGAAGAGACAGCAGGTTTAACTGTTATAGTTATGTCTCACTGTCAGAAATTTCTGGTGAACTGAGCTCAAATAGAATGTTGGGTTCTGACACCAACCAGTGTGACATCACGAAGAACATTCCAAAATGTTGGTCACAAATGTTAGAATGAAAGTGATGGACTGCACAGGGGCGGATCTAGAAAAATATCTATGGGGTGGCAAGAGGGCGGCAAGGATTTTTTCAGGGGTGGCAGCATATGCCACCACATATATATATATATATATATATATATATATATATATATATATATATATATATATATATATATATATGTATATGTATATATATATATATATATATATATATATATATATATATAATCACGTTTAGCTTACACAGACCCTTTATTGGGTTAGCTTACACTAACCCAATAAAGCTGATAAACAAATGAAGAACAAAACCACTTTTAATCTGCTTTTTTCCACTCTGTGTGTCGGCATTACCTTGCATGCAGACCTGTTGCCATGGCAACTGACAGACAACACCTCCAAGAGCAGACAAAGCAGAAACGTTCAAGCCTATCAATAGGAATCAACACAAAAAAAAATAAAAAATTCCCACACAAAAAAGTACGCAACAACACCAAAACATAATATTTGGTCTGTTACAATATGTTGTAAGGCTTACAACTAATGATTTAATATAGACAATGACACAAATTGTTCATTCTGCCAACTCTATGAAGAAGATCTCTGTCACTTATTCTGGTCATGCTATTTCTCTTGTATTTTCTGGCAAGATATTTGTACGTTTATTTCCCAAAGAATTCTTGATGATTTTTCCCTCACTTATATAAATATGTTGTTTGGATTCTTCTCTTATCCCACTAATAAAACAAAAAATTTTTATATTATCAATCTAATTTTATTAGTTGCAAAATATCATATACATAATTCTAAATTCTCAAATCAGAAACCTCGCTTTTCAGCCTTTAAAGAGGAATTGAAACGATATATTACATCTCTCCAGTATTCAAAGAATAGAAAAGCCATTAAGACAGTGGATATGAGCTCTCACTTTAACATCTTTCTCAGTTAACTTTTTATTTATATATTTGCTTTTCATTTTGTTTGTGCTTCCTATGTAACACCCTGGCATTGTTGTCTTGTGTGTTTTGTTTGCTATTTTGTAAACCCCTTTATTGTCAATAAAGAAAAAAGAACTCTGTCCTGAACCGCAGGGCTTCAGTGACGGGACACAGAATGTGAATGGTAAGTAATCTTCACAAAATTACACCGTTTAGCAGCTTCTAAAGTGTCCACCCTGTTTCAAAGAAGAAATCTTACACAACTTATGACTGTCGTCATAAGTTGTGTAAGATCGCAGCAGCTTTGTCTGCTGCGATCCCCGGTAGCATATTGTGCTAGCTAATGTTAGCACTAGGTAAAGTTAAACAAGGGTTGTATAATATTCGCCTGTCTTTATGTTGAATTCGTTAACCAGCGCACCTCTGTCGAGTGGCATTAAGGTTGGAAAATACCAAATGTATTTGGAGGAAATATGTATTAAAAACTGTTGTCTAATCCTCCGTGTTTGCGTGCGTGTATTAACTAGCATTGAAGCTAAAGCGGGAAAACAGCGAACCGTTGCGCCAATGTTATTAGGTCCACGTCAAGCTGCACCACACGTCAAGTGACTGTGCAGATGATTTATTTACCAAGCACATAATCAGTGTTGTCGATGAGGGAAGGCAATGTAACTCTTAAATATATATTTTCTTTCAGATGCAAAATGTAAAACTAAGCTGGTAGGTCACAGGCCAAAGGAGGATATTCACATAATTCCTGTTTTTTTTTATTATTTGGTGTGTATGTGTCTTGTACTTAGTTTTATTTCGAATTAGATGTAATATGGCTTTTGCTGTGTTATGATATTAAATTAAATTGGTGTTCTCCTAATTCCCCATTCTAGTATGACCAGCAGAGTGCAGCTGAAGCAGGACAGGCTTGTAGGTCTTACTGATTCCTCCAGCTGCTAGAGAGGATCAGGGCATGAGGATGGAGAGACCAGCAAGTGTTAAGTCATAGAAGGCCAGGTAGGGAAGTAAGTGTTGCTTTTAAGGGCCAGGTGTATTTGGCTAACTATATTTATACAAGTCAGTTTATTTATTGGTTTTAAAACTAATGCATACTTATGTGTTGATAATCGCACATTGTAATAAAATTCAGTACAATTCAATACAAAAATGTAATTTTTGTATTCAATACAAAAATTGAATACTACTTTTTTGTTTGTCATGATTTATTTTTTTGATTGAATAATTGTGAAACAAATCTAACTCCATACAAAGATGTCAACTTCTGTGTGAGGGTTCTTACATAAACCAGCCAGAGACACTGAATGGAATCCAAAAATAATCTTCATTTAAACATAATTAAACAATGAAGAATTGGGGCCAGAACTGAGGTCAACATAACAAACTAGAACTCAGGTAGTAGCACAAAAAACTCAAGCACAAAACTGACCTAACAAACATGAGGGGAACTTAAATAGTGGCTGATCAGACCACTGCTGACATACAAGGGGTAATTAAACATACAAGAACTTAAACAAATACTAGTCAATATAATACAAAATATTTAAATTAAATAAACACTATTATAATGAAACTGACAATTAGTTTAATTTGACTATTTCTTTAAAGAAAACCAAATTTCCTCATCTCTGGCAAACAGATGGAATGACCCACTGAGGAGGTTTTGCCAGCCCTATAAGGATATCAATTAGCTGGAGCTCTTCTGTGACCCTTCAGCAGCAGCTCCAAAGGAAACTGGTAACTCTAAACAAAGAAATTAGTTTGTTGCATTTAACAAAAATATAAAGAACTGACAAATAAAGTTAACTAAATGGGTGCAGTGCAAATAGTTAACTAAAAAGTCAGGCTAATGAAAATAATAAGTCTTATGTTTCTGTTGGGATGATTTTCTCTTATGGAGAATATTGGTGAAATACTCACGCTGTTTCTATGGGTTTTTCTCATTATTAGAGTCCAGCAGCTCCAATCTGGTACTTTGCAGCTCAGGAATAGGCGATTTACAGAAGAGGAATCTGAAGAGGGAGGACGAGGACACTGAGGAACCACAGCTGAGGAATAGGAGGAAGAATATGAGGAAAAGGACAAATGAAAAAAGGGATCCCCAAAGAGGTCAGAGTTTAAGTTGCAATAAAATTGTAATATTAAGCATTCATGAGAGAGACTTAAGGTGTGGTAATAATGAGATCTAAGGTAACATTAGTGAACAGAGTTTATTCTGGTGCTTTATGAAATTTAAAGATGTGTTCATATGTTTAGGTGAATTCCTGGAAAAATATACTGAGCTGGATCTACTGGGAAAAGGAGGCTATGGATCTGTGTTTGCTGGATATCGAGAGGTGGATAAATTACCTGTAGGTGTATTTGGAATACTTAAAAAGAGGCTCTGTGAAGTTATCAGTAATAGTTCTTCTAACAGTAGAAGTCAGCAGGAGTCAGAGTTTGTAAAAAATAATTAATATCCTCATAGATATTCATATTTCAATATCTTGGAATCGAGGTAAAAGGCCACAAACGAACTTTGAAAATTTATGTGGAGCCACATTGGACGCTCTTAACGTGTCAAACGCTCGAAACACTCCAAACGGTTCCAATCACGTTGCGCTAGATGGTAGAAACGCAACGGCCCTCTACACGCCTACACATAGACTTTGAATGTAAACCAAATGCGCCTGATGCTCAAAAAGTGTTTGGCGTGAACTCACCATAATACTCACAATACTGATAACTCCAGATCAAGCAACTAAAGAAAATCTGAACCCTTTAAAGATATTCCCATTGCTGAGCAAGGCTTTATTTCTATTGTATAGGTGGCTATCAAACACATCCCAAATGAAAAGGTGGGCCGCAAACATAAGGTAAGTGAGCAAAAGCATCTAGGACTGACTTTAAGTCCTATTGGATTCCAGAGGCATTGTGGGTTTCTCCTGTTTGCCTTGATGTTTCAGGATGATAATGGTCAGGAGATGGCGTTAGAGGTGGCCATCATGTTGAAGATTAAGACTGACTACTGACATCAGGGAAGTGCTGGATCATCCCATGCTGGAAGAATTATTCAATCACCCATGGTTTTATTAAACATTAAAATATTAAATGTAACTTTTTTGTTGGTAGTTAGTCTAGTTCCGACAGGCGCTTACAATCCCTGGGGTTGTTCTTCCCAGTCTCAACATTGCGCCGATAACTTTAGATATTTATTTCTGTACATAGGTTTGGAGTGTGTTGCACTTTTATTTTTTTATTCTTTTAGTTATTAGGTTTGCTGTGTGTGTTTTAAAAAAAAGTTGTTAATAATGTTCATTATTTTTTATTTGTTCATGCATGCTTGTAAAAATAAAAATGTTATCTTTTTCATTAGTGAAAATGACAGTTATTTCGGATCATGACTCGCTGCTGCAAGATCGCTGCCATTCGGAATGGATATATAATATATAATTTAGATATCTGAATTAAGAATGACGTGGAAGCCCCTTTCTGGTGTCCAAACAGTTGCCTGCAGAATTTTATGTTTCCTGCACAAAATTGTCAGTAAATGCTACAAATTAGAAAGAGCTCAGCAATGTTGGAAATGTAGAGATAGCAAAACTTCATAAACTATAAGACTGCTTCTGACATCTGCAAAGAATTTCCTGTTTAATCATTTTCGACAAACCGAATGTGTCAGGGTCTGGGTTTTTCTGTTTTTTTGGGGGGGTTTTTTCGTTGGTTTAAGTTTTTTCTCAGCAGGGCCGAGCTCTATTCGTGACACCCCACCTGCTAATGGCACTTCCGGTGGCAGGTGGCAGGCGCCACAAGTGCCACTGTTTTCTGGGCTAGCTGCCAGTGTTGTGACTGACTTCGGATGACTTCGGCATCTCATACTGGCACTTCCGCTGACACCTGCCATGATTGGTGCCACTGTTTTCGGGGCTACCTGCCAGTGTTGCCACCATAGACATTGCCACCATGGTTGCCACTGGCTTCGGCAAATGGACTACATATCCCACGATGCTTTATAACTAGTAGAAGAAGAACTTGAAGACAGACGAAGAAGAAATAATTTTTCAGGGGGTTTTTTTCGCAGAAAGACTTATGTTAGCTGAATTCCTACACTTTTTGTATATCATGTATGATTCGTTCATCCTATTTATTCACTAAAGTTCATCTGAATAATCCAGCTGACTCCTTTTGTCTTTGAATTAATCGAATACACAGCAGGTATCAGGGATGCCATTGGTTTCGGCACCTTTGCAACAGCTGAGTCTGGCTTCCACTAGAGCTGCTGTTGGGTGTCCAGGATGTTTAAGGGCTGTCACAACTGGTGCCGATGTTTTGGGGGATGGCAATGCCAGTTAGTTTTTGGAAAACGTGTTACTTATATTGCCTCTTTATAAATTTTTATTTCAATGGTAATTGTATTGGTTAATTCTCCGTTTAACACCTTGAATATTTTTGACTTAATTTAATTGAAGGAAGATGGCCAAAGTAATTGAATCCACCACTAAGTGTCACTATTACAGTGGAGCCTGTTGAACCCCGTTGGATTGCCAGATAGGGCTTTGGCCAAGATGGAAATACGTAGTAGTTGTGTAAAACGTATATTGTAGAAATTAATAAAGTTTGAAAAAAAAATGTAAACGTAATGAAATATTATAATTTCTCCTGGTGTAGTAAATTCACACGTTGACTAAACATGAATTTTACAGAAGACTTCAAATGATTTCAGAGAGGGATTTTATAATACACAAATATTTTAGTTCTTGGCTATTGAAAACTTAAATCATATGTTATTGCTGTTTAAAGTATTTACATACAATGGCTAATAAATATTGACAAATCAATTACTATCCATATACTTTGTTACATAAACTTTAAAAAATGTTGAAACATATCTGGCAAATAAAATAATATGTAAACAGCACAATTTTCTTTGAAAAAAGCATTTGCATCTTAAGTATAACCCAAAGTGATTTTTATTTCCAAAAATATGTAACAATCTTGTTCTTAATGCTGCTTAGGAGTCACACATTGTCAAAGTTTTTGAGGTGTACTTGTGTTTTGACTTATCAATATTCAATATTAGTGTAAAAAATTTGAAGGTGGTTTAACTTGTGTGCAGTGGCAGCTGGGAGTGATCCTGTTCGAAATTCTTCAGGATAAGAATTTAGAAACCAGCAGCTTTCTATAAAAAGAAGATACAAACCCTGAAGTCGTTCTTCCCAGCCTCAACATTGCGTTAGTGCAACGTTCAAACATTACTACTACCTCACTGACATTTTGGGCGCTTTCCCATTTGGATTGTATGATGTCATAAAAGGGGTGACAAACATGATGAATAAAATATTGTTCAAACTAATATTAGTAACTTATAAAGTGAGAATTTGAAATATAAACCAAAAATTTAAATATTAATCATGACATTAAGCTAATCAATGTTGTTGATTCTAATCTCATTGTGTGGAATACCAGCCATTTCAAATCACACATCAATAGAGATTTCATGACATGTCGGTAAGAGGTCCCACATCTTGCATCAAGAAGATCAGATTAAGAAGGTCCATAGCAGATGGAAACATGCCAAGAATTATCTTGATATATAAACTGATATTGTCTCTGAAATTGTTGTGATAGGGTTAGGGTAACCTAAGGCTATCTGATGGGTTATTTTAACATAAGGGGAGTGGTGTCTGATGGCTGAAATGTGGCCATCAGATACCATTCCCCCACTTTATAACAAGGGGAACGCTATCTGATGGGTGATTTTCAGTCATCAGCCTCACTTTACCACAGGGTGAATGGTATCTGATGGGTAATATTGAGCATTAAAATATATTACCCTGTTTTCATTTCATATACTGTATTTATAATTTTCTTTTTTATTACTGTATATTTTCTTTTTTTTCTTTTACTCTATGGACCTATTTTGCGTCTTTAAATAAAGTTGATTGATTGATTGATTGATTGATATAGCACCATATATATGTGTGTGCATGTATGTGTGTGACTTATATATATGTATTTATTATTACTATTAGTATTATTACTATTAGTTTCACGCAAAAACGTGAAGAAAGTGNTAAGCAAGTGGCGGGCATAGTGTACAGGAACATCTGTGCCGAATATGGACTGGAAGCCCCGAGGTCAAAATGGGGGACACCCCTAAAGGTGGTGGAGAATGACCGAGCTAAGATCCTGTGGGACTTCCAGATCCAGACAGACAAGATGGTAATGGAGAACCAACTGGACATTGTGGTGGTGGATAAAGAACAGAGGAAAGCCGTTGTGGTGGATGTAGCAATACCAAGTGACCACAACATCAGGAAAAAGGAGCATGAGAAACTGGAGAAATACCAGGGCCTCAGAGAGGAACTGGAGAAGGCCTGGAAGGTGAAGACCACAGTGGTCCTGTGGTCATCGGGGCCCTCGGGGCAGTCACCCCCAAACTGGAGCAGTGGCTCAAACAGATCCCACGAAAACATCAGACATCTCAGTCCAGAAATGTGCAGTTCTAGGCACAGCCAAGATACTGGAGGAGAACCTCAAGCTCCCAGGCCTCTGGTAGAGGACCCGAGCTCAGAGGATGAAAGAGAGAGACCACCCGCAGAGGGTGAGAAGGGATATATATATATATATATATATATATATGTATTTATTATTACTATTATTTATTATTATTGTTATAAGTATTATTACTATTAGTTTCACGCAAAAACGTGAAGAAAGTGTGACAACTTTGCCGAAACATGTTGTTTGAGCTTTCACGGTGTCCGTAGTTCCCCAGACAAGCGCGCCGAACAAGCGTGTGCTTGCTACGCGCATGCTTTCTTAGTGCTCATGACGAGCACGTGCGTATTTTGCCGCCTGGGCGGTGCGGAACGGCAAGAAGACGAAGGGGGAACCGTATCTGATGGGGAAACGCGGATTGACGTAACACAGGGGAGAACGGGGAGAAAAGTGCCCCAGGAGTTACTGACAAACCCGTTTTTAACTG